CGACCAGACCCAAAAAAAAAAAAAAAAAAGACTCCTAATGCCAGTGGTGGTTGGGAAGATGGACATAGGTGCTTCACACCAAAACTTGTTCATTTTGACATCCTGTCAAAATGGGATTGGAGTGGCCTACGGCTATACTACCCCCAAAATGTCTAATCTCACACAAATGGGAATAAGGGAACTGATATTGTTATCACAGTCATCCTTACACAAAGAAGAATCCCTACAAGCCGTTTAGTTCATCAAGGTCGATTTCCTAGCTATCTATGACTACAAAGGCCTGGGTTCTTTGTTTGGGTCAAAGAACCTGAGTCCTGTTTAGAATTTATAATGTACTTGTCTGCACTACTCCATATCAAATAATTTGTTGGCTTCCTCATACTGAGTATTCTTTTTCACTGGTTCTGTTTGCAGATATCTGTGGATATCCTGAAGTGCTCTTAGAAGTGAAGACAGGGCTAGGACTGGCTCACGAGGTAGAGCACTTGCCTGTCAGCATGAGGCTTTGTGTTCATCACTAGTACCACTTGAAAAAAAACAGTAAAGGAATTCAGAGATAGCGCAGTATAACCACACTGCAGAATCATATCATCCTCTGGTTATGAACAGATGAACCTGGATCTGTGAGAAGCTTGGTGACTAAGCTTAGAATAGTAGTAGCACCTCAAACTTCCAAGTTTTGATGTGAAGCAGGCCTGGATTAGAAGCTTATTAACTTTTGGATCAGCAGGTTACTTTCTAGAGCTGGTGATACCTCTACTATAGGTTCTTTGTTGTTGTTTTTTTTTTTTTTTTTTTGCCAGTCGTGGGGCCTGAACTCTGGGCCTGGGCGCTGTCCCTCAGCTCTTCAGCTCAAGGCGAGCACTCTACCACTGGAGCCACAGCGCCACTTCCAGCTTTTTCTGCTTATGTGGTGCTGAGGAATCGAACCCAGGGCCTCATGCATGCAAGGCAAGCGCTCTACCACTGAGCCACCTTCCCAGCCTCTACTATAGGTTCTTGTAAGGGATATATATATGGAAAACATTTAGCAGAGCTTGGTACAAGACAAGAGCTCAGCTATTGTCAGTTCCTTTCTCATCTTCCTCTTGTGACTTTTTAGCAAAAGGCAATTGTGTTAAAAATGGAATATTTTCTGGCAGTTGTAGAAATTGACTTGGTATTTGTTTGTTTGTTTTGTTTTATGCCAATCCTGGGGCTTGAACTCAGGGCCTGGTCACACTGTCTCTGAGTTTTGCTGCTCAAAGCTATTTCACTACCAATGGAGCCACAGCTTAAGTATACTTCCAGCTATTTGTGGTTCATTGGAGGTAAGAGTCATTTAGACTGTTCCTGCCTGGGCTGGCTTTGAAGTGCAGTCATTAGACCTCAGCCTTCTGAATAGCTAGGATGACAGGCGTGAGCTACTGGTGTGCACCTGGCCTCAGAATTTATTTAGATGGCCTCTTTCCATCTCTGCTGGCTCAGTAGATTTTTAGGGATGACCTAAACCTAGCAAAACAACAAACAAAACAATATTCCTAATTAACAGAGAAGTTCACTTGTTTGTCCTTGTACCAGAGAGGGCTTCTTTCCCTCTGTAGTAAGGTGCAGTGATGATAGCACAAGTGCTCCTTGCACTAAGTGAAAGCAGAGCAGCTCCACAGTGATTGGGTAGGACGCACTGCCCTTTAAAGCACGTGCTAGCCGTAGTGCTGCAGTGCTCACACACGCCGCTGAACTCAGCGCTGTAGAGCTCTTGGCTCTGACCGACCCCGACAAGTGACATAAAATTCCTCTGCGAGAGACACAGGAAAAACGCTGACTGTGAAACCTCGCTGAGGGGAGCAACAGAGAAAAGATTTAAACGTGGCTTTGGAGAATTGATTGTCTGAACTAATGACTTTTCTTTGGATCTTTCAATATTTGGGTCTTGTTTCCTCTTTCAATCCAAAAAGTCACAAATAAAGCCCAAGAGGTTATATCTTTGGTCCAAACACAAACTTATCTTAAATCCTACTTGTACTTACTCTGACGACAAGCTCTTTTGTTTTTAAATTTCTTATGACTTAAAATCTCACTAATCTGAATTTTATTGTGAGACTGAAAGTGTCTTTTTTAAAAAATATTTTTATTGTAAAAATACTATACAGAGGGGTTACAGTTACATGAGTAAGGTCATGAGTACATTCCCATTGTTACCTCCTCCATTGCTTTTCCCCTACCATCCCTTCCCTCTCCACCTCCCCAGCTTCTCTCTCCCTCCCCCCCCAAGTTGTAAAGTTCATTTTCAACATAGTATCTTGTACATCTCATTGTTTCAATGGGTCAACTCTCTATACCTTACTTTAGCATTTTGTTATTTCTCCTTCCCTCCCCAAATTAGAAAAATGTATATACAAGATTCAGGGCACTGGAATCAAATACAGTGAAAATGGGTTATAACATGGGGGAAGAACGTACAGAAGAAACAAAAAAAAATCACTTAGTACATTATAAGTACTTTTAAAACAACAGCAAAAAAGACAAAACCTCTTTTGTCTCTATCTTGGGGTTTATTTTGCTTAGAATCATGAAAGTGCCTTTTAAGATGCTGCTGCTTGGCACTGGTGGTGCACACTTATCATCCTTGCTATTCAGGAATCCAAGATGAGGATTGGGGTGCGAAGCCAGCCTGGGTAGGAAAGCCCATGAGACTCTGACCTCTAATTAACCAACAAAAAGCCAGAAGTGGAGGTGGGACTCAAGTGGTAGAATGGTAGCCTTGAGTAAAAGAAGTTCAGGAACAGTGCCTAGGCCCTGATGTCAAGTCCCCCTCCCCATCCCACTCCCCCTAAAAAAATGATACTGCTGCTACACAAAGTGTGAAATTAGTACAAACACACTCACTCACTGCAGTGTGGAGATGTCAGTGCTCTCAGGTTTTGGAACCAGATAGTCCTTGGTTTGAATATCAACCTGCCACTTACTTGTGACTTGGTGCAAATTGCCTTCCTATTTCGATCAGACTTTTCTCATGTGGAAAAGGATATGTCAGTACCCTTGTCAGGCTTTGGATAAGTGAGTAATGTGTAGTGTTTAGTATACATTGAAAGCTCACCTTATTTGTAGATTGTCACATGCAGTTTTGGTCAAGTGCAGTAAAAAAAAAATCAATCAATCAATAAGGCCAAGTGCCAGTGGTTCCCACTTGTGATCCAAACCACTCAGGAGGATTGAGGCTTGAAACTGCTGTAGTCAAAAAGTTCATGAGATTTCCATCTCAACCAGTAGCTAGGTACGGTGGCATATACCTCTCATCCCAACTACTTGCGAAGCAGCAAAAGGCATAAAATCAAGACCCTGTCCCCAAAATAAATAAGAAAGATCTGGCCGGGCACCGGTGGCTCACGCCTGTAATCCTAGCTACTCAGGAGGCTGAGATCTGAGGATCACGGTTCAAAGCCAGCCAGGGCAGGAAAGTCTGTGAGACTCTTATCTCCAATAAACCATCAGAAAACCAGAAGTGGCACTGTGGCTCAAGTGGTAGAGCGGGGGCTGGGAAGGTGGCTCAGTGGTAGAGTGCTTGCCTTGCATGCATGGGGCCCTGGGTTCTATTCCTCAGTACCACATAAGCAGGAAAACTGGAAGTGGCGCATGGCTCAAGTGGTAGAGCGCCAGCCTTAAGCTGAAGAGCTGAGGGACAGCGCCCAGGCCCAGAGTACAAGCCCCATGACCAACGACAAAAAAAAAAAAGTCTAGATAGAAGGTGGCTCAGGTGGTAGAGCATCTGCTTAGCCAAGCACAAAGCTGTAAGTTCAAATTCCAGTACCACCAGTCATGTAGTACATGCATGCATGCATATATATATATATATATATATTCAAATTTGAGAAACAAAAACACATTAATTCTGAGTGTTAGTGCGTGCATTATATAGCTCAGTGGATATGGAGATGCTCTCATCCAGTCCTGTACTAAGTATTTCTTCCCTTAATTTTGTGAAATTAAGGACATGGTCTCAAAAAGCAAGGCAAAGGTTATTGTGTGTAATTTAGGTGATAAAGTGAAAACGTTAGATTTGTTGAAGGATGCCAGTGTCTTCAACAGCAGCTGAGCAGTGTTATGGGAAAATGAATCCACAGTGCAGCACTGAACTCTGAGCACTGAGCATGCACCGTTTGTCTTCTGTAGTGTTCTCCTTGGGACAGAGGCCCACAGATACCAACGGTCTACTGGAGTTTGAAAGTCTTGAACAAATATTACCTATAAGTAGCTTCTTTTCCCTGGTTCTGAGTTTGACTCATTGGTATTGTCTCTTTAGAAATAATTGAAAAATGAGGTGGAGCCTCCTGCAGTTCTGGGGGGGTAAAGATACTCTCTAAGCTAAAATAACCACTTCCCATGTTGTTCAGGTTGATAACAGGGACAATGCTAAGAAGAAGACACCTGCTTCTGCCTTCACATCTAATAACCAAGTGTCCTGCCCACTGTGTGACCGCAGCTTCCCACGTTCAAAGATCGAGCAGCATGCCATGTACTGCAATGGTCTGTTGGATGAAGACAAAGATAATAATTCACCAGGTAAGCAGACTCTTACTTTCTTTGTGTAGCAGTTTGTAATCCTGTACAGTATGATGCAGGGGAAACCGACTGCTCTCTTCAAAATTAAAAGTTATTTTATTTTGTTTTGCTTTTTTTCTTTTCCCTAGGATTTGAATACAGAGCCTTATACTTTGTAACCAGGCACTCTACTTCTTGCTTTTTTGCTTTAGATAGTTTTTGTTTTTTTTTGCTCAAGGCTGGCCTTGGACCATAATCTTTTTACCTATACTGGGATTATAGGTACCCATTGCAACATCCAACTTTGTTGTTGAGATGAAGTTTTGCAAACTTTTGTCCTAAATGAGATCCTTTCAGTCTTAGCCTTCTAAGTTGTTGGAATTACAAGCAGGCATCATCATGCCTGGCGTATTGTTTTCTATCCAGTATTGTTTGTGTTTGTGTATTTGTTGTTTTTTTGTGCCACTGCTGGGGCTTGAACTCATGGCCTGGGTGCTGTCATGGCCTTGAGCTGGTTTGCTCAAGGCTAGCAGTCTTAACACTTAACACCAGATCCACTTTCAGCTTTTTGGTGGTTAATTGGAGATAAGAGTCTCACAGGGCTGGCTATGAACTCTGATCCTCAGATCTCAACTTCCTGAGCATGAGCAACAGCACACAGGGCTGTTTTTTGTGTTCTTTATTACTTCTAGTAGATGTACCATTTTGGTTATGTATGTCTCAGGAGAAAGTGTGTATGTATATGTGTGTGTAGGTATTGAGGCTTGAACGTTGAGCTGTCTCTCTTTTCTGCTCAGGGCTGATGCTCTGCCACTTGGCCACATGTTCAGTTCCACCTTTTTGCTAGTTAATTGGAAACAAGAGCCTTGAGAATTTGTCTTCCTGGCTGGTTCTGAATGGCAGTACTCAGATCCCTGTCTCCTCAGCAGCTAGGATTAAAGGTGTGAGCCACCAAAATCTGGCTGTTTCCTCTTAACACTTAACTTACTCACTGCTATCTGACCATCAAAGCCAGTACAATCCAGTGTGGCTCAAATTTCAACTTGCTTATTCAAATATTGAGGCTGTGTCCTAGACTTGCCCAATTTTTCATTAAAAGTAAGTTGTTATTGTTTTGTTGTTGTTGTTTTTTAAACCAATATTGAGGTTTGAACTCAAGGCTTCACACTTGCTCAGTTTGTTTGCTCAGCCGGTGCCTTGTCACTTAAGCCGGGCCTCCAGCCTATCTTTTTGCTGGTGTGCTGGAGATAGATAGAATCTCTCAGACTTTTCTGCCTGGACTTGACTTTAAACTACAGTCCTCCAGATCTCACCCTCCTGAGTAGCTAGGATTACAGGTGTTAGTCCCTAATCTGGGTTTCTTGTGGTTTTATTTTAGTAGAAATTTTACCCAGAGACAGCAGCTGAAAAATATCCCTAGTTTGTATTCATGTCCTACATGTCTGCTGAGCTATTGGTTTATCTCTGTAGAGGTTAGAACCAGTGTAAGATACCGACCAAGAAAAACTTACTAGGGGGCTGGGAAGGTGGCTCAGTGGTAGAGCACTTGCCTTGCATGCTCAAGGCCCTGGGTTCGATTCCTCAGCACCACATAAGAAAAAAGCCAGAAGTGGTGCTGTGGCTCAAGTGGTAGAGTGCTAGCCTTGAGCTGAAGAGCTGAGGGACAGCGCCCAGGCCCAGAGTTCAGGCCCCATGACCGGACCCAAAAAAAAAAAGAAAAAAAAGAAAAAAAGAAAAAGAAAACTAATCACATCCTTGACTTCCACCTGGATCCTACCTATCTATTCTCCTCCCTCCCTCCTTCCCTCCCCTCCCCCCCTCTTCAGTTCACTGTTTTCACTGGATCCATCCATCCATCCATCCATCTTATCTATCTATCTAATCTATCGCTTGAACTCTGGGCCTGGGTGCTGTCCCTGAGCTCTTCAGTTCAAGGCTAGCACTCTACCACTTGAGTCTCAGTGCTACTTCCTGTTTTCTGGTGGTTAATTGGAGGTAAGAGTCTCACAGACTTCCCTGCCCTGGCTGGCTTTGAACCGTGATCCTCAGATCTCAGCCTCCTGAGTAGCTAAGATTACAGGCATGAGCCACCCGCAGATCCTGCCTTTCGAACTATGATTTTAACCTCTAAATACATTTGTGTCATTAGAACTAGCTTACTATGGTCCAGCTCTTAGATAGCTCTTAGATAATTAGAAGTCTTAAGGCGTTCTTAGTGTTGCTTACTTTCTGTAACTTAGATGTATTTACATATGCAATTAGTAGTTGTGAAATTTTTAATGTTAAAATTGCCAGAGGCAGGCAGGCAGGCATGGTATTGCATCCTGTAATCCTAGCTACAAAAAGGATACATGAAGGAGGATTAAGGTCTGAGGCCGTGCTTGTGTAGAAACATAAAACCTTACCTGAAAAACAGCTAAAGCAAAAAAAGGGCTAGAGTTTATGTGTAACTCAGATGGTACAGTACCTGCCTCATCAGCATGAGGTCCTGAGTTCAAACCCTAGTACTGCCAAAATAAAAAGTTAAAATTGCCAGAAAGGTATATGTGCCTTCATTTTCCTAAAGTAGTGTATGTCTTAGTGTTCTCTGTTTGTTTCTTTGGGTTTTTTTGTTTTTTGGTTTTTGGTTTTGGTCAGTGGTGGGGCTTGAACTCTGTGCCTGGGCACTGACCCTCAGCTCTTCAGCTCGGGGTGAGTGCTCTACCACTTGAGCTACTTGCCACTTCCATTTTCTGGTGGTTAATTGGAGATAAGAGCTCAGATGAGCACTGGTGGCTCACACCTGTCATCCTAGCTACTCAGGAGACTGAGATCAGAGGATTGCAGTTTAAAGCCAGCCTAGGCAGGAAAGTCCATGAGACTCTTTATCTCCAATAAACCACCAGAAAACCAGAAGTGGCACTGTAGCTCAAGTGGTAGAGCGCTCGCCTTGAGCTGAAGAGCTGAAGGACAGCACTCAGGCCCAGAGTTCAAGCCCCATGACAACAAAAAAAAAAAAGAGAGAGAGTCCCATGGCCTTTGCTGCCCAGGCTGGCTTTGGGCTTTGGACTGTGATCCTCAGATCTCTGCCTCCTGAGTAGCTAGGATTACAGGCCTGAGCCACCAGCATCGGGAAGCATTTTTTCTCTTGTGCCAGTCCTGGGGTTTTGAATTTAGGACCCGGGCATTGTCCTGGGGCTTTTTTTTTTTTTAGTTGCAGGGCTTGAACTCAGGGCCTGGACGCTATCCCTGAGCTCTTTTGCTCAAGGCTAGCACTCTATCACTTTGAACCACAGTGCCACTAGTTTTCTGGTGGTTCATTGGAGATAAGAGACTTACAGAGACTTTTCAGCTTGAGCTAGCTTCAAACTACAATCATCAGATCTCTCTCAGCCTCTTGAGTAGTTAGGATTAGTGGCCTGAGCCACTGGCATGCAGTTTAGCATTACAATTTTTAGAAAAATTGACTTAAAGTTGAGGACCAAAATCTGGTAATCAATTCTGTGTATTGAGAGAGTATTGAAAGTCTGGGTTCTTTTATGTTCGTTTGTTTTTATTTTGGCAGTATTAGTATTTGAATGTAGTATCTTGGTGCTTACCTAGCAGGTGCTCTACCACTTGAGCCATACCACCAGCCCTTTTTGCTTTAGTTATTTTTTCCAGTAGGGTCTGGCTCATGTTTACGCCTGGATAACGTTGAACTGTGATCCTCTTATTTATGCTCCTTGCATAGCTTGGGTTGATAAGCATATGCCACCGTACCCTGCTTTTTACTGATTGAAATGTGGGCTTTCAAGAACTTCTTTGTCCAGGTTCACCTTGAACTGCTGTCTTTCCAATCTTTACCTCCCAATTAGCTAGGATTACAGTTGTGAGCCAACATGCTTCGCTTTAGTGTTTGGGTTTTTTTTTTTTCCTTCTTTTTTTTTGGTCATGTCTCGCTTTTACCTGAACTAACCTTGGATCTTAGTCTTCCCTATGTTCAGCTCCCCAATAGCTAGGATTACAGATGTGAACCACCAAGCCTGGCTAGATGGCAGTTTTTTGTGCCAGTACCAAAGCTTTAGCTTGGGACCTTGCATTCTTACTTGGCTTACTCACTCATGGCTGGTTCTCTACCACTTGAGTCATGCCTCCAATCCTGCCTTTTGCTGGTTAATTTGAGATGATGTCTCAGATTTTCTGCTAGAGCTAGCTTTGAACCAGAATCCTCCAGAGCTCATCTTCCTGAGTAGCTAGGATTATTAAGTATGAGTCACTGGTACCCAGCTTAGATGCAGTTTTAATTTGACATAGCTCTTATTCTGTATTTTTTTTTTTTCTGTTGAGAATTCCGGTGACTAAAAAGAATTTTGAGACTGAGCATTTGACCAGAGTGAGAAGAGACTACCTCACCAAGCATACTTACACAGCTGGTATTAGTCATCTGAGTCATTTTCAGCCCTTAGGTCCAGAAATAAATGAGTTCTAAAAGCTGAATGTCCCTTTGAGCTGTAGAAGCAGTTGACCTCTTTGAGGGCAGAATTAATAGGTAAGAAGTAATACAGGATAACTGGTACTGACACTTCCCATACTGAACTATGCTTGCTTGTGCCTAAATAGGAAACTTTGTTATTTGTTATTGTCAGATATCTTTCAGTTACATGATACTTGCTTTTGAACTATTTCTTTTCTTTTTTTTTTGGGTCCCATTGTGGGGCCTGTACTCTGGGCCTGGGTGCTGTCCCTCAGCTCTTCAGCTCAAGGCTAGTGCTCTACCACTTGAGCCACAGCACCACTTCCAGCTTTTGCTGCTTATGTGGTGCTGAGGAATCGAACCCAGGGCCTCATGCATGCAAGGCAAGCACTCTACCACTGAACCACCTTCCCAGCCCTGAACTATTTCTTACTAGAATGTAGTGCAGAAACTCACAGCCACAAATACTTGCTGTTGAAATGATTTGGGTTTGCTTCTGAATTTTCTCAGACTAGATCTAAACATATGTTATCAGAATCAGATTGTTCTTCTGGAACTTGTTAAGCTGAGAGACACACTACCATCA